ACAAGTTTTGATTCTATAAAATACATGTATTGTTGTGTAATTTTAAAAATAAATATAATAGTAAATAAAAATAAAGATAATAGTAAATAAAAATAAATATAATAGTAAAATGAATGTACATACTATAAAAGTAATTGATATATACTTTAATAATTCCCAATGACAAAAAATTAGGAGTTCACTTTGTTCACTTATTTGATGAAACAGTGATTTTAAGACCTGATTAAAATTTTAAATTTTTTCACTAAGTGACTTACAAATTGTAGGTAATATAGATATGATTTGGATTGTTAAGCACCTCAATTTTACATTTTGCCAGCATGCTGTATCTCTTCCATATTTAAATCTTACACTTGCATTAATCTCTACACAAGTAGAGTTTGTGCTCATGCTTACCTTTGGAGGAAATCACAGGGTGGTCTGTGGAGGTGCCGCACCTGTGGGGCTTTGGGATAGAACATCCTCAACCCAGGGACTGCTCTTAGTTTAGGAGGGGTACACAGCCGTGCAGGTTGCTGGTAGGTAAGAGGACTATGCTGCTTTTGTGACACGACCTACAGCATCTTACTGTGGTTTTGAAAAGAAGTGGGATTTCTACCTCCACATCTCTTTCTTCTTGTCTATCAGTTTTGGAGGTTACTCACATGAGTGTGGAAGGATGTACTAAAGGAAGCAGAAACTAAAATACTAAGGAGGTATTACATAAAAATTCTCAAAGCTCAGCTTGGTTTAAATGGAGAAGTGCTATAAATTTATTTGCATATGCAGTAGAAGAAAGCCATACCTGTCTATGGCCAGATCTAGTAATTAGTATTTGTGCCAGCTGTAGGCTTTATTAAAGCTGCTCTGCCACAAGCATAGCACATCAGAGAAGATTAAGATCTTTGTGTTGATTCTTAATGGACTCATAAATGTGTTATCTTTCCTAAACTACTCAGCACTATTCTTACGCACGTAACAAAAGTAATGGCATCGACAAAACACAGACTCAAGAGTGTTCTGGAAACTGTCTTCACGTGTGATTGGTTGTAGTCTGTATGTTGTAGTTGCACATCTAAAATAAAAAACTAGTAAAATGTTAAGGTTCCATCATCAGCTGTTTATTATATGGGAATAATAAAAAAAAATCCTTTGTAACTAAACCTGAGACCTGGTGCATATTCAAGAAAAAACAACAATCAGGACACCAGCGTTTGTCTATTTGGAGTGCTCTGATGCATCAGAAGGGATGTATGAAAAAACTGAAATAAACATGGCTTAAGGTCTACTTTTTCTAAAGCCCCATTGTACTAAGTCTGGCTGGGGTGGAGTTAATTTTCTTCATAGCAGCCCCTGTGGTGCTGTGTTTGGGATTTGTGACTAAGCCAAGGTTGATAGCATGCCAGTGGTTTGGCTGTCGCTGAGCAGCACTTGTACAGTGTTAAGGTTTTATCTTTCCCACTCTGTCCCCCTCACACCAGCAAGTGAACTGCGGGTGGGCAGGGGGCTGGAAGGGGACACAGCCTGGACAGCTGGCTCAGGGTGACCATAGAGATGTTCCATGTCATGTTACATCACGCTCAGCAATAATAACAGGAGGAGGTTTTTGAGGGAGGTAGACATTGCTTAGAGACTGGCTTAGGCATCGCTCTCCCTCTGCTCCGCCCTGGTGAGGCCACATGTGGAATACTGTGTCCAGTTCTGGACTCCCCAGTTTCAAGAGATCTATCCAGTTTCAAGGGATCTTCCAAAGAGAGTCCAGTGGAGGGCAACAGAGGTGACTGGGGGACTGGAGCATCTCTCTTAGGAGGAAAGGTTGAGAGAGCTGGGACTATTCAGCCTGGAGAAGAGAAGGCTGAGAGGAGACCTTATCAATGTCTATAAATATCTGAAGAGGGTGCAAGGAGAATGGAGCTGGACTCTTTTCAGTAGTGCCCAATGACAGGACAAGGGGCAATGGGCACAAGCTGGAACACAGGAAGTTTTATCTAAATATGAGAAAGATCTTCTTTACTGTGAGGGTGACAGAGCGCTGGAACAGGCTGCCCAGGGAAGTTGAGGAGTCTCCATCTTGGGAGACTTTCAAAACCCACCTGGATGCAGTCCTGTACGATGTGCTCTAGGCAATCCTCCTTTAGCAGGAGGTTGGACTAGATGATCTCTAGAGGTCCCTTCCAACTCTGACGATTCTGTGATTCTACTTGTGGGAGGTGGGAAGTGATTGCCCTTGCATCACTTGTTTTGTTTTTTCTTCCTCTTCACTTACCTAACTCTGTCTTGACCCATGAGTTTCGTCAGTTGTGCTCTTTCTGCCCTCTCCCCTCATCCCACTGGGGGCTGGGGAGGGAAGGAGCAGATGTGTGGTCCTTAGCTGCTCCCTGAGGCCAGCCCATCACTTCCACAGAGCAGCATCTGCCAGTCTTTGGCAAATAATTAACTTTCCTTCTCCAGATTAGGTACTCCGGTGGGTGATTCCGGAGTGCCGAGTGAGGTGCCAAATACATGTTTAATGGTGTAGGTTTCTGTTATACACATTCACAGGAAAGTCTTCATGTGAATTCAACAGATCAAAGAACAGAAAATGTTAATTGTTGTAAAATTCCCATCAAAATTGAATTGTTTGGCATTCAATTGCAACATAGAGTTTTTTGGTTAACTGTTAATATCATTTAAATTGTTTTGACTGGCCATTTACCCTAGCTAGAATAATAAAAGAAAATAAGAAAAATACACATACAACCTACATACTGAAAAACCTGGGAAAAAAGATACTGGACCAAAACCAAACAGAGGAATGAAAACTAAATCCCTATGAATAATGATGCTTGATTGTGTTCTGCACTCCTTCAGATATCTTAGATAAAAACGTAATTTAGCACACTGGGGGCCCCATAATATTAACATTCATGTTTCCTTTGAGCTGTTCATTGTTTACTACATGAAACAGTATATCTCTGCAAAGTTGTATCCTGCACAAGAAAATTGTATACAGTAACTCTGCAGTTTAGTACTACCACTGCCAGGTAGCTATTGTAATCTTGGTGTTGTTACTACAGTAAAGTAATTTAAAAGCAAAATCCCCTAAAGTAGCTCATTTAAGCTTACTCTATGTGGAAAGCAGAGTGCTTTTACACTCTCCCTCTCTATACTTATTTTCCTTCAGTCTATTTCAAGGAACCTTTTTTGACACTTTTGAAACACATTTGCACCTAATGTCTAACTGCACAGGCAAAATAATCATACTACAATACAGTCGGATTTGTATCTGATAGATATCAGGCAGAAATAATTTGTGTCTGATGTCTGTCAAGGGGGTGGCTTCTTTTTTTTCTTAATAGATTGAGTACCTAGGTGAGACTAAGTCATCAGGGCAAGATGCAAAACTCATTGAAGTCAATTCTCAATCACTTTGGTAACTTCATCCCAGTGAAATGGTTCATTTTGGGATGGGCTGGAGGACATATTGACAAGTTGTTTAAAAACAGGTGATGGGAGAGAGGGCTGAGAGAGAAGTACCATGGAGGTAGCTAGGTCAGAAGCTTCAGAGGTAGAAATTAATACAAGGGGAGCAGCAGTGCTTGAAGGCACATGCTGCTATGCAAGCAATATGGCATATATTATTTTGAGTGATCTTCAATGCCCTAGTTTAATAGGGTGGATAACAAAGGCAGAAAATTAGGATTTAAAATCAAACTGCTGTTGGTTACATAAAGATACTAACCTTTAATATGTTGCAGCAGCAATAAGTGATTTTTCTGTGTTTCAAGACTGGAATGGTTGCTTTACTAGAGGACATGGTATTATTATATCGTGATAAGTGGTTTATAAATGTATTCTTCTTTGAAAAAAATAAATGGAGCTAACAGACTTTTTAACAGTTGTTTGTTTAGATTTACTGTAAATATTAAATGTTGTACATATATTCAGAGAATGCTTGAGACTGAAAATATTTTGTTTTGCAGATCCCTGGAGTAAGTGATATAAACTGATAATCTGTCACTGTGAATAATGAACAAAGTCATTCCAGATTTGGAAATGTTTCCTTGAATGCCAGTTGGAAAAACCTATAGCAATGAATAACAGAAAGATTTGTGCATAGAATTTGACTACTAAAACATTAATGCCAGAAAAAAATAAAGCTGTCACTTACCTTGGTTTGAGAAAATGCAGATCTTCTTGTGTTAGCTGGCAAAATCTAAAAACAACCAGATCTGCTATCTCGTGAAATAAGCTTAAGAATCCCTCAAACAAACTTACCACGGAAATGTCCCTGCATCTTGTATATACTTGGACAGAAGAAATAATTTTCCTTTCATTATGGGCTAAATGTTGACTTTTATTCAGGAACTGCTTTCAAAAGGCTATTTTTTCAATGAAATATGAATTATGAAATATTAATTATGCTATAATAAATTTTCTGAATTTCTGTGCTAATCAGTTTTGAAGTTTCAACAATATTTGTCTTGAATTACACATTCAATTGTAAATAATAGGGAACACACTTTTGTGGAATTTTTGTGGCTTTTATATTCCAGAACCAAATGTACATGGGCAAAAAATAATGTTTTTTTGGTGTGTGACAAAGTGATTCAAGTTTTCATCTGAAAATTTTGTGGAAGGTAGCTAAATGCTAACAAACTCAACTGTAACTTGTGATTACAAAAGGTGCTGAGTATTTTTTTTTCATGATTAAAGACAGTACAACTAAAACACTTTATAAAAAAGGACTCATTGTGCTCTGGACAAGAAAATGAATTGAAAATTGTTAGGAATTATTCCTAAGGAAGCAACATGAGATGCTAAGACAGTATGACTAAAAAACCCTCTTAAAGAGGAATTATTTTAATCTGGACAAGAAGATGAATTGAAAATCATTAGGAATTATTTCTAAGGAAACTACATGAGATGCTAAGACAAGTTATATTTTATGCTCTCTTGTTTATAATTTCCAAATATGAGTTTTGTTCACAAGAGGAAAAATTCCACAGCAACTAAGCATCTTCAACTCTCTTTTGACTTAGAAAAAACTGACCGAGAGAATATTGCAGCAGGAGATAAAGACATAAAACAGCCTCCCAGTAACCAAAGTATACAACCAGAGATACCGGACCAGTCCATCTGGGGAAATCGCGCTGATGGTGACCTCGTCAGAAGTAAGTATTTCCAGAACAAATTGCTGCCATTTAGGCTTACTTTGGCAGTGTAACGGGATCCTGCCTGTTGACTCAGTTAAATGTGTGTCAAATGCAATTGTGTTGCAACTGTAACGCACGTCTACCAAATTTATTTCACAGAACGATTCATGCCAGCATGCGTAAGCAACGAGTTCAAAGAAAGGTGTGATTTGAGTGGTGCAGTATAACATAGACCTCTGTAGCACCTACATTTTAAAGCCTCAATGTTATATTCTTTTCTTATGATTCATAATGGGAATCCGTGTATTTAGTAGGCACATGAGCTGCAGTCTGCGACTGTGCTGGGTGTCATCGCCTTTGCTTTCTCAGGTTATGCATTTAAGTGGCAGAGTAAATTACACTGAGAGCAGTTGCATCCAGATGCATTGAGTACTGGCCAGGTCTAAGTTTATGAACAGTTTTGCATCCTAAAGTAGCTATTCCTTTCAAAACTAGAAGAATGCAGTAAGGCAAGGTTTTAGGTTCCAAACATAGCTAGGGAACTGTGGGGGGTTTTTAAAATTAGTTTTCACAGGGTTTTTTTTTTGAATTAGTTTTTTACAAGTAGTTTTTACATTCCTAGTGTATGTCTTGGATGCTTTAAAACACAGAAAGGTATCCAAGATTATTCCCATTTTTCTATCTTGAATTGAAGATCATATGCTGTCCAAAAGATCATCTACAATTGCATGCTCCTGAGGTGAAAATATTTCTGTCAACTGCCAGAGCTAATACTACTTTAAAATTCTGTGAATGCTTGAACGTTAGTTGCTCAAGGGAGGGGCAGCATGAGAAAATCTTCTCTAGTTATAGGGTGTATTCAGAAAGCAAATGGACTAAATGCTGAGTGGTGCTACAGCTCTGTGAGACCGTTGTCTGACCACACACTTCGGGGTCAGTCTGTCTTTACACGGACCACATTGTACACAGTGCGATAAATTCCTATTTCTGAACCTACTGTTGTCTTAACTGATGCTTTTCTCTGAAGTTATCTGTTTCTTTAAAGATTTGTTTGTTTGTTTGTTTGCTTTTTTTTTAAATCTTGTCTATACAATCAACTTCTGAACTTTGTGTTAGCATTTTAAGTTCTTTTAAAATCTTAGTTAATCCTTTTTTTCTAAATAATGAATCCTGGTAAATACTTACACTGTTAATGTATTGAGTACTTATCTAGATACTTTACAGGACACGTGTATTTAGTATGTCAGATATTTATATGTCCATTTAAAAATAATTCTTTAAAGGCTATAAGGAGGGAGAATTGTCCTGCACAGCTTGAGAGTGAAGATGAAATCCTGAGGTATGTAACTGTGCTCCTCTTGCAGTCACTAGTAGTCTTACCTTTGACTTTGTGAAAAGCAAGTTTAGTGAAAGCTGGAAGTTTCTAAAACTCCTAGTCTTAATGACTGAGTTTTGTGTAGTAGTGAGAGTAGTAGTTTGAGTAGCTAGTTTGAAGCAATCCTCTCTTTGTTTCAGATTCATTATCTTTTTTAACTTTAATGTTAAAGTCTTTGAGATATAAGACACAAAAATGATAAAATTAAAGCAACTTCTTTTTCTTGTCTTTTTTGGGGGGGCTGTGGCAATGAGTAGGCAAGTATTTTCTGCTTAAAAAAATAGAGGAACAGTGCTTGGCTCTTTTGCAAGTACTTCTGGTAGTTTGCAGAAGTTTTACAGCTTAGTAACTCAAGTCTGAAAAATAGAACAAGTAGAGCAAAGAGAAACTTGTTTCTCACAAACATTACTTAGCTATTTCATCTAAAATAACAAGTATTGTGGCTCAGAAGGGCTATGATTCAACCAGATCTATTACCCTACTAAAGTTTTCATATTAAAAGAAGTTTGAGGTTAGAAATAAACAGTGTTTTGATTGTTTACAGTCTATTTTAAAACTGTTTCTTTAAATTGTTTTAGGCAGGGGATACTTGAGTTTTCTCAGGTATTACCAACCATTCACCACCATCCTAATGGTTCAGTATCTTTTTTCCCATACAGAGTGTTTTCCACTCCCACAGCTGATACGTACTCCATTTGTGTTAGCCTTAGTTTTCACTTTATAAATGTTTCCAGTGTTTAATTTCCAAGGTTTTCCTTGTTTGCAGCTGTTTTATCCTGCTGTTATATGGATGTTGATTAATCACTCAGTTTTATTGGCATACCAACAATGAAGTCTAGTGTTAGAGACTCTGTAATGACTTCATTATGCATTTCTCATTTGCACTTGTGAACTCAGTTTACCAGGCAACATCAATAAACTAAAATGCTGTCCCTGTTTTCTACAGTAAGATGTTTTCAGTTCACCTTGCCCTGCCCTTTCAGTCCTTTTCTCAAGCCCCCTTTTTTAAATCTCTAGATGATGAGGTTTCCCTCAGATTAGCCCTTCTCCCACCTCCTTTGGAGCATCCCTTCTCCTTCTGAATAAAAATGTTCATAAAATCTTGGGTAAACAGGTGATCTTATGGGAAACTTCAACCAAGAAATTAATTGTTGTTGAAGGGAATTGATACATGTTCAGTATCTTCATCAACAACCTGGACGAGGGGATAGAGTGTAGCTTGAAGTTCGCTGATGATATGGAACTGGGAGGGGTGACTGACACACCAGAAGGCTGTGCTGCCATCCAACAAGATCTGGACAGGCTGGAGAGCTGGGCAAAGGTGAATCCAATGAAGTTCAATAAGGACAAGTGTAGAGTCCTGCATCTGGGGAGGAATAACACCAGGCACCAGTAGAGATTAGAGCATGTCCTGCTTGCCCTGTTGAAAAGCAGCCCCATGGAGAAAGACCTTGGAGTCCTAATGGACAGTAAGTTGTCCATGGGACAGCAATGTGCCCTTGTGGCCAAGAGGGCCAATGGGATCCTGGGGTGCATTTAGAAAAGTTTGTCCAGGAGGTCTAGGGAGGTTCTCCCTCCCCCATACTCTGCCCTGGTGAGACCACACCTGGAACACTGTGTCCCGTTTGGGGCTCCCCAATTCAAGAGAGACAGGGACCTACTGGAGAGAGTCCAACAGAGAGCTACGAGGATGATTAAGGGACTTGAACATCTCTCCTACGAAGAGAGATTGAGAGAACTGGGGCTGTTTAGCCTTGAAAAGAAACAGCTGAGAGGGGATCTCATTACTGTATATAAATGTGTCAGGAGGAAGGTGCCAGTCTCTTCACAGTGGTGCCCAGTAATGTAACAAGGAATAATGGGTTTAAGTCAGAACATGGGAAGTTCCACCTCAACATGAGGAGAAACTTCTTTACTGTGAGGGTGACAGAGCACTGGTACAGGCTGCCCAGAGAGGGTGTGGAGTCTCCTTCTCTGGAAACTTTCAAAACCCGCCTGGATGCGTTCCTGTGTGGCTGCCCTAGGGGATCCTGCTCTGGCAGGGGGTTGGACTAGATGATCTTTTGAGGTCCCTTCCAGCCCCTGACATTCTAAGATTCTATGATTCTGTGATGTATGAACAGGGAAGAGCTAAATAAGAAGAAAATGGTTATGTTATCTTTCTCTATTAATTGTTAGTGCGCTTGCATAACTGTTACTGGAATACTGCTTTCAGTTGGAGAAGGGTGAGGGGAGAACCACAAATATCTCAGGAATCACTAGAGTAGTTGAAAACATGCCTTATTGTGGAAAAACTCCTGGAATTCAATCTGCTTAGTGTTAACAAGGGGGGATAAAGAGAGGCTTGCCTAATCCCTAAGAAGCATGATACCAAAATGAACAGAAATTTTGTAAGACAGTTCTTCAGCTGTAGCAGACAGAGGGAGAACTAATGTGATGTCTGAAGTTCAGTTAGATTAGCCAGAAGTTGTACAGAGTATTTCAGAACAGGAAGAACTGCCAACTATTTCGTGGATTTAGGTGTGTTAAATTGGCTTTATTCTTCACAACGTGACCGTTGCTATCCATATCCTTCAATTTTAGAGAGTCTCTTTTCCATAGCAGTTCCCCCAACATGGGATGACCTCTGAATTTTTCATCTCAGGTATTCTTCAGGGCAATGTTGTATTCTTCAGGGCAATGTTGAGACCTATTCCATTCCCTTGTCAGATGCACACATCTTTTGTATTTTATTTCAGACTGTAGATATTCTGCTTTTCAAAAGAGCTTAGCCTTAGAGTAGCACCATCTGCTTTTCCTTCTTCTTCAGCAGTGCATTTTAAGTGTCTGCAAACACCTTCTGCTTATTTGCATTGTATCATCGGGTGGCCTGTAACAGAGGCGTTCTGCTTTTTTATCACTCACCTTTGGCAAGTGAGGAGGAGTGAATGTTAAAACGTGCAGGAGGGTAACCTGTGGCTATAGGAATGAAGCCATAGGAGTTTTTGCTTCTCCATTACTACAATGTTCTGCTTTGTTCTTTGGGAAAGGTTGGGGATTTTTTTTTCCCATCTTAAAAAAAAGGCCATAAAGGTAGATTTCAGAATAAGTAAGCAGAATTTTTGCAGATGGCACTAAGTTTTCATCAATGTGTGCTGTTATTCAGGGGAAGGAATGTTTAGGAGGGAAGAAAATGCCAGTCTTGAGCACTATTTGCTTGTGAGGATTTAATCTCCTTTCCAGTTCTCAAGCAAGACCTTAGCTATGTGATATTTAAGAAAACAAAAAACATCTACCATAGATTCAAATTGTCATGAATAATTGATTAATAATAATCCAATTCTCAAGATTAAATACCTAAAATATGCCCATGTTTTACAGATAGAAAGGTCATTGCTATCCATCATTTCCTAGCTTCAATTGCCTCTTTCTCCTCCATGAAACACCCTCCTGATAAGAGTGGTTCTCCAGAGAAAGGGATGCTTCATTCAGCTCTGTGGGGATTAAACAATTTTACACAATACTGTGCCCACTGTTTTATTTACTACATTCTTCTCATTTCGTTTTATTGAAATATAAGCCTAGTTATTTTCATATTTTTGTTTTCTGGTTTTTTCGGTTGACATTTTCACTTTATGTGGCTATTTGTTTAATTTTAATGTCT